ACATTTATAAATAAACTTCTGACTGGTTGACCATCATGGCTGCCAAAGGTTAAAAAAAAAAAAAAAAAAAAAAAAAAAAAAATATTTACAGATATCTATATAACCTGCTAACTATAACTAAATCAAAAAATTAATACTAACTGGTACCTGGCTTTAACATTCCTTCAAATAAGACAATTAATTAATTTATCATTAATACCAGATTTACTAATCACATTCTTGCCATATGATTTTTATGCCTTTTTTCACCTAATTATGCAAAGCATGAGATACAAAAAAATGATCAATTATACATGTAGCATCGCATTGCATAATTCTGGACATCCTATTAAAAGGGTCATCTAAAACAAAGCAAAATCATGTGTCTATGGGCCAATCAAATCTTAGAATTTTGATGATCACTAGCAAAGCAAAACGGAAAAATAAAAACGAAACCTCCAAAAAATACAAAAAATGACATTAAACCTACCTCAGGTAGGTTAATTAAAAATGTCAAGAAGGCAATTTTGCTTATTTTTAAGTATCTAAAAACCAACCTAACCCTAATATAAGAATGGTCCTAACATTAAAGTTAATTTAATAAAATATATTATAAAGAATCTATTCCACCCTAACTAGAGATTAGATCCTTAAAATTGCTCATAGTTCCGGCAGAATTATGTTGGCCATAGGCCAGAGTTATTTTAATGCTAGCCAAATAAATGATTAGGAAAAGTTTAAGCTACAATTAAAAAAATAGAAATAATGCCGTATTATATTATTTAAAATTCTATAATAATACTGGTCTTTAAAAAAAATAGCATTATTAAATCTTGCTATATTAAAAAACAAACTTTATAATTTTGTTCTACTTTTTGTTGTATATTTTTATTTAAAAAATTTTCATTTTTGTTTTTTTTATTCTCGTAATGATTTAGAATTTGTTTGATTAATTAACCAATTCAAAGATACGCGATTTAATCACGTAAGCACTAAGCGTTTTTTGTTTTTTGTTACACTAAAATACAAATATATTTGTTTAAATGCAATTGTTGATTGTTTTGAATTTGGTTACACTAAATACAAATATATAGACGTGATTGTTGTTTTGAACACATCACGGTGGGATTAATCAATCAAAATTTTTTATATAAGGCTATGCAAAATTAGTTAATTGGTTTTTATAACTTGGAGGTCAAGTTTTGAAAACTTGTAGGTTTTTGAAAATTTTTTATAAATTTTTTATATAAAATTAAAAAAAAAAAAAAGCTGACTGGCCAGATCTGTTTAAAAGTTTCATGTTATGAAAACCAAACAGTAAATTTTAAGCAAAAAAAAAAAAATCAAAAAAAATTTCTAACTTAGAACACACAAATTTAATATCTTCCAAAGAAGATTATGGTTATGAATTTTTTTTGAGCATCAAAAAAGCTAAGCAATGAGCGTCGTTAGTTATAACACTTTTATAAAGTCAGAAAGCTCTTATAAAGTTGAACACCCTTAGAGCTAAAACTGTTTTTATGTTTTCTTTAAGTAGAACACTTTTGTTAATATTAATCTTAAAGTCTAAACTAAAAAATTACTATTTTATAAAATTTTTAGCTTACTCAAGTTTTACAAGCTTTTCATTGAATTATTTCCTAATTTCAAAATATGAATAAATGTTTAACTTAAAGTTAGTAACATTTACAAAATTAATAATTTATAATATAATGTAAAGTAAGTTTTTTTTATTAGTTTGTTAAAACTTATTTAAAGGACGTAACTTGGGTAAGGTTGGTTATGACACTTATGTGCGAGGTAAGACACATAAGAATACTAACTTATGAGAATTTTTTCTTATTATAATATTCCAAATATTGATGAATCTAGCATAATTAGTTATGTACAAAGCTTAAATAATATCGATTTATATGACGACGACGACTTTTGTAATTTATTTTTAATTTTTAATAAACTAAAAAAAAAATAAATAAACCCATTGCTTTGCTCTATTTCAAACAACTATATTAATTTATTATGGCAAACTTTGATACTATAATTATCGGCATTCTTTTTTGTACATCATTTTCGTGTAACCTTATGTACCTCAGATCTTGTCAGCCAATGAAATCGTCGCATAATTTCATGTACATCAAATTTTTATCAACTAATAAAATCGCACAGAAATACATAATTTTTATTGGCCAATAAAACTACTAAAATCTGACATATAAATATCGTATAAGTTTTTTTTTTTGACTTTGGCTTTCTCTCCTTCTAACATTTTTTGATAACAAAAGCGAATGCGTCTCTCTATTTTTTTTTCTTCTTTATGATCGTAACTACAATTTTTTTTAAAAATGAATATTGATATTATTAGAACCGGATCCATTTTCACCACTTTTCCTGAAGCACGTGCAGCTATAGAAACATATGCTGCAAAAACCAACACCGTATTAATTTTAGGTAGAACAACTAAGAATTCAGATGGCAGTGGCTATAGGCAGGTGTATTTTGTTTGTGAAAGACAAGGAAAGTATGGTGGAAAAGAGGAGAAACACACTACTAAACGGACCGGTTGTCCTTTTATGATTGGTATAAATTACCGAAAGCGTTCAAAAAACTTTGTAATTACAAAGTGTTGCCTTGAACATTGTCATGATATTTGCCCGGAAGCAACAAAATTTAGCCCTGCTATACGTAAATTTGACCAAGATGATCTTGGCCTAATCGAAAAACTTTGCGACAATGGACTTCGCACAAGAGACATATTTTCAGTGCTTAATTCAGTAAGTTCAAAATATGTCCACAAGCCTGACGTTTACAATGCCATAAGTCGTCAGCGTCAAAAGAAATTACAAGGTTTAAATGAGATCGAGGTATTACTTAAAACTCTGCAACATGATGAAAATGTTCTGGGTAGTATTGCAACAAAAGCCATACACAATGATGAACGTGACCAAGATGGTGAATTTATTCAGGCGGTTTTTTGGGTGTACCGTCATGCAGTTTTTGAATTTGCGGTTGCAAAGGATGTTTTAATAGTCAATGCTATGTACAAAACCAATAGGTTTTCGATGCCCTTAATAGTTATTTGTAGCATCGATCAATTTGGATCAACCTACCCCTTGGCCTTTGCTCTTGTTTACTCAGAAACATGTGATTTTTATCATTGGGTGATGCAACAATTGAACAGGATGTTAACTATACTGACGGGCGATGCACAAGTAGCAACATTCATAACTGACCGAGAGCTAGCTCTCATCACAGCATGTTCTTTAGTATTTCCTCATGCCAGGCATCAATTTTGCATTTGGCACATCTTTAAAAACATTCGGAACAAGCTCAAAAAGGACGTCGAAATTGATGAATTTATTCAAGCTCTTCAAAAGCTTGTATACGGGGATATTTCAATAAATGAAGTAATAATTTTTATTTATTTATTTTTTTTTTGTTTTTTTATTTTTTTATTTTAATTTTTTTTATTTAATTTTATTTTATTTTTTTCTTTTTTTACAAATTAACAC